ACCCCTCCCTATCGAAGCGGTCTCAGCTCAGAGACAAAGATCATCCGAAGAGTCGCCCCTCCAACATGTGCTTCTGATCTCGTCCCGGCAGGAAGAGAAGAAGGCGGAATGGTTTTGAGTCGCGGGAGTTGGCAGGTCGAAGGAAGTTGTTGCATCAGCCGTTCTGGCCACAGCTTTGGCAAGCCCTTTTCTGTCGCGGGAACACGTGCGTCACAGTCATGTTGCCGGGGTATAGCAGACTGGCCTCTTGCATGTACCTTGTTTCGATATATTATGATTGCCCACGTGCCCTGCTAGAAGAACCTTGTTTCAGCACAATTGGAAGAGCGGACGTCCATGAATGGTCCGGCATGTCAAGTGTTGCCTTCGTACCTGCATGCAGGTCGAGGAGGAGGAAGAAGAGGAGGAGACTTCCGGTCACTGCCCGTGGCGCTGTATGCAGAAGCTCAATGCTATTAAGTTGGAGAGGAGATGGACTTCGACCTCTTCGGCTGAGCATCGGGCACGTCCAAAGAGAAGTTCTGCAGAAGCGAGAAAAGGGCTGGGATAGCCACTGTAGGCGTGAACAGGTTAATCTTGGCTAGAATGCAAACCGGCAGAGCTGCTTGCTCGGAGCATCGTCCTGGACGAGCATATTTACAGTCGTTGGTGGAGTCCGCGATTGTGCGGAAGTGCACCTCCCCCAAGAATGGCAAGACCTGCAATAGGGAGAGCCCACTTCAGACGACAACTTTCCAACCATCTGCCGCTGATCCATGCGGAAGCCAGCAACGAATCTGAAGCCGCGAAGTCGCCAGGTCAACCCTTCTCAGCGTGCCGCCATCGAGGGCTTGAAATACGCCTTGGAGAAGATCCAGGCCAGGCCGGCAGCTGCCAGCAGCGGAGCCGGCCGTGTGGCGTCCGACACGAGCAGGGTCCTCCCGGCACCGGCAAGTCGACCACCATCTTCCACATCCTGGCTGGACCGCTTAGCTGGCCGCACCTGTGTACACTGATCACGAATGCACGTCTCGGTCTGAGTTTGCACTGATGGATGTTTAGGATGTTAAGTTTCTCCAAGGATGCGAGGCTGCCTGCCGGCCCGAGCCTCGTGAAATCGGAGCGTCCGCGGGAAGACCCGGGAGGAGAGTTCCTAGAGTACTGTAGAGGAGTCAATGCAACTAACACAGCAAGGAGCTGGTTCATGTTCAACGGCCCGACTCCTGCGCCCACAAGCCAAAACTCAGTGAGGTCAGCGAGTCTTGGTGGGAGGCTCAGTGCAACCAAAAAAGGGCCTCTGCATACTGCTGCCGAGCGCTGAGCAGATTTCTTCTGAGATTTTTGTCGACGAGTCAGATTCTGTGTACAAGATTGTAGTCCTGGCGTGAGATGCACTGTAAGAATTGCAACTCTGTGTTGGTAGGTCCTGACACAGCAAGCCACAGGTGACCTGCTCTCGCAACGTCGCTGTGGAATCCATCGCGCAGAAGCTGGAGGGACTTCAGGTTTGCTGCCAGAGTGATTTAGGCACCTTGGTCAAGTGCTGATGGCTGAATCTGCACAGTAACCAACCTGAGCCCATCATCCTGGCATTGAACAGGCGGCAAGAACACCTCCCAAGACAAAGCAGCCGCTCTAAATGTAGTAACGTAACCAGCTCCAGACTAGCATCCAGATACGTACTTGTAGCAAGCAAGCAGGGTTGGCCGCTGTGCGTCTTCGGCCCACGTGACCGGGTTGGCCGCTCAGACATGCCGCTATGCCTGGATACAGGAGCAGAGCCAATGACCTGCACCACTGCACATTCAGATAAAGCCCAAGACCAAGAGAAGGTCGGTGGCACTGCCCGTCGATATCTGCTGGACTCGCAGGCGCGTTGAATCGAGTGAAATTGAAAATATATGACATGTATATTACGGCAGTATAGGGTGCACAAGGTCGGCAGAACTGCCTCCCATGGGCCAAAACTAGGACAAGGAATATTGGGACAACCCATGTGAAGATATCACCTTCGCTGATGCATATGCATGAAATTTTGGCTGCCGATTGGAGCTTCTTACAGGACAAGTCCTGTCCTTGCAATCTTGCGATTATGGGCGATCCAGGATGGTGCTCAAACCAGTGCATCACAGCTAAGTGCAACAGGCTGAAAGCGCAGACGGCGGAAGTTACTTAGCCAAGCTAGACACTCTCTACGGTATCATATCGTATCGTATCATGCTGCCTGCCCAGAGCGAGGGGCCGGATCACCTACGTGGGATGACTCCAACCGAAAGCAAAGGGGCACTCGAGCATGCGAGCGCCATGGCAGTGCGTATGCGGCCTGGTGTGGCTTCTTGTGCAGACTGGTGGCCTTCACGCACGAGCCCCACAGGGTCCAAATAAGAATTGGTGCCTTCAGCATCCAGGGGTTTGCCAGCACTGCATGCTGCCCAGTGGAAGGATACCTTGGAGGGCTTTGCACGGAAGCTCACGTTTGCTCAGGTCCAGATCATGGTGACCAGCAAGCAGACCTCGCTCGACCGACGGTGTGCCATCCGCAAAGTGAGCTCGGACACGGACTACCTGAAGCCTTTCAGCCACTGCCACTCCAAGTATGTACGGCTGAGGATGATCCTCAGAGAGGCCATCGGAAGCTGTCTGCCCCATTTGCCCAAAGAGCAGCGTGGCTTACGCAACGGAAGCACTATTTGGAATTGAGACAGGGCGCCAGCTCTTGTGACGGTCGCTTGTACGCTTCCTGGTTTCTCTTCTGTTTCCGAAGGTTCGCACTGGTGCTTAAAACCTTTGGACGGGGTTCTGCTATGTTCTGCTGCTGGGCCACGACTCTTTAATGCAGTCATGCAGTCGCCAGGCATGATGTGGAGCTGCTGTTTTTCTTGGGTGACCCTCGGCAGCACGGCATGTCCTCAAACGATCCCCGACGTCTGCTTCAGTCCTGAGGACTTGGCGGCAGCTTCGGCCGATGTGCAGCAAAGCCTAGCGGAGGAAGAGGAGAAGCTACTCGCCCTGTAGGTTTTGCCACTGCGCGGGGGCGAGGGGGAGGAGGGGGGGAGGGGAGGCGTTTCAAGATCGTCACACTACCCTGACGGTGCTCAGAATGGCAACTTCACCGGCAGGCATCAAGCTCCAGTTGGTTTTTACAATTCTATGATCGTCTGATAGTCACTTGCACAGGAGGGCGACCTGCATTGAGAAAGGAAGAAGCGAGAGAGAGAGAGGGAGAGAGTGGGTGAGTACCGGCTCCTTTTTCTGTCACACCCCTCTAGAAAGCCCTTAAACAGGTGTGCCCTTGTCGGCGTGGGGAGCTTGACACGCCCCTATGCCCCAGAGACAAGACAAGACAAGACAAGGGAGGGAGGGAGGGAGGTAGGGAGAGAGAGTGACAGAGACAGACAGAGAGACTTTCCACCGTCGGGGGAGTTCTCTAAGCATGCACTGGGCAAGCCTTCTGCATCCGCCATCGCGATACTGCAGAGCAGTTCAGGACGACGCCCGAGACGGGACCTTTCGTGCAACTGTAAGGTGGCAGCAGGTTGTTTTAACCGTTGGATACCCACTTGGCTCTTCAATCCTGGTTCCTTTCAAAGAGCACTTCTTCGGATTATGATGCTCTACTGCCGAATTTAATGGCCGTGCTGCAACTCTGCTGCTTATGACTTCTTCTGATGCCGCGACTACAGAGGTGGTCGGTCGGATGGGATGCCCAGTCACGTCTTGGCATCCCACTTGGATGTGTTGGGGAAGTGGTTGGTTACTTAGGATTGAGAGATTGAGAGCTATAAGGGGCACGGACTAGGCCGGGATGCGGGCTACTGTTCTGACTGGGTCGGAGGTTTTGCGGCAACCACTCCTTCCCAGCTGCAACCTGGCCACCGTGCGCGAGCTCTATAAAGAAGGAAGGATGACAGGAAGGAAGATGCCATTTCAACGTCACCGGGCGGACGGATGGTTCAGGGCAGATCAGATACTCCTTAACGAGGGGTGTGCTCGCGCAATCAGGCTGTGCAGTCTAGCGGGAGTCGGACCTTTTTCGCGAGTGAACTCGGAAGAGAGAGACTGCGCGTGCGCAAGCCGGAGCGTCTGTTTCAGAAGTTACGATTCCCGCAAGACAAGGTTCCGAGACCTGATTTTTGTCGGCGGACCTGATGCAGACCCTCCGGTGGAGAGTATGGGCCCTGACCATGCAGCTGATTGGATGAGCTTGGAATGCGATCTCGTTTCGCGCCTTTCTTCGTTTGGTCTGAGGGGATGTCACCTACGTCCTGGAGCGGCCCACGGCAAGGGGCTTTCGGCTTGCTGTTGGGACAGCTTGGCTGGCAACGCACAGGCCTCGACCGCTTCGAAGGTTCAGCATTCAGCGAATGAGCAGACCTTCGTATCAGAAGAACAACATCGGCGGTTTCAGGGATTGACTCAGAGGAATTGGGGATGGATTGGAGCTGCGAGACGATCAGAACTCCGACATCGGTGCATGTTTGGGAACAGAAGCCCTGAGCTGGCCCGTAAAATGGTACACACACACACACACGTGTTCAGCCGTGCAGCTCGTGACCACTAACATGAGAAGAATGACTAGTGTATTACAATAAGTTTCCCGTGAAGCATCGCTTCACTTGCTGTTTGAGCGTTCATGGGTCGTTAGACATAATCAAGTCATGGTCGACCACGGAAATTCCGGCACCGTCACGGCCTGCCTGCACACTGGATGCCAGAGGACGGACTTGGATTTCGTCATGTACTTAGATGACGACAGCTACCTGAACGTCCCGAGATTGCTGTCCTTACTGGAGGTCCCATGGCTTAGCAGTGCCGATGCATGGGCAGTGCTGTGTGGCACAAAGACTCGCCGGAGAGTTGCGGGTACGCTCAGTAGCGGTTCAAAAACAATCGTGAGTATTTGGCCGTTTCTGGGACTGTACGGCGCCTTTCAGGTGCATTAAATGTAGCTATGTACATTCGCCCTGTCCGAAGGAACACAATTCTCCTTCTCTTGCCATGGGCTACATCATGGAGACGGAACTGGATATGCTGGATACTCACATTTGCAAAGTTTGCCCGCTGAACTGCGACTTGACTGGTAATGCTATTATCGTGTGCTGGCAGGCCTGCAAACACACGGCTGCAAATTCGAGATCGGAACGGACTTAGAATTTCGGTGCATTTGTGTATATCTCTGCGCGCTGGAAGCTCATGGGACTGGTTCGGTCGGTGACAACAATCTGCAGCTGCTGAGGCGAGGCGTGTCAGACAGATGGTTTCCTTCAGGCAACTTGGCTGAACAGCCTCCTTGCTTTGCTTGTCGGGGCGTGTCTGTAAGCTCTCGTTCCCATTCCAAAGCCGTGAACAAGAACCCTTTGGCTGAGGCTTCGACTTCTAGCAGCGACACGTGTACTTATTCGGGAGATTGTGTGGCCTTGGTGACTGGAAGTGTTAACTACGACATGTACATTGCATGCATGTGCTTCCCTGTGCGTACACAACGCATGAATGGTCGCCCGCGCACCTGCCTGTCGAGTCTTCTGCATACATGTATTCATCTCATCTTGTTTGGTGCCTGAACCGAGGCATGCATGCATGTTTGCACTATGACATAAACCTGGGACCTATATTGTTTTCTAGATCTGTATGTTAATATACGTACAAGGTCAACGTATACATGTGTATAATCTGCGAGCATGTGTATGTACAATCATGTGTTATATGTTAGATTATATATGTATGTACCTATACACATTGTACATGTGCCGACCTGCGACCTGCAGACAGGAGGAGATTCAGACGTGCCTGCATGTGCATACATAAGTAGGTAGGATGGTAGGTAGGTAGTTAGGTAGACACATAGGCATGTAGGTAAATAGGTAGATTCAGGCATGCATGCATTGAAGCATGGATGGATGGATGTATCTGCAGGGATGGATGGATGGGTCTGCATTCGTGTTATACATGATGTTAGACCTGTATACTATCATGTATGTATGTAGCAAATATCTATACAGTACACGATCTTGTCATGGTAGGCATGGCCACAACGATCGTTTCGATGGCTGCATATGCCAGAAGTTCCCATGTCCGTGGATGAGCATGCCTGGTACTGGTGGTCTTCGTGGTGGTGCACTAGTTGTTCGCATGCATGCAAGCATGCAGTTGTGTATGCAGGAGCCTGCCTGTACTCAATGCAGCAGGCGAAAGGTACGAGAGCCATGAGGTAAGCTGGGCTGTACACATACACATGAGTCTTTCGAGGCCTTCTGTGGCAAGTTCCCGGAAATGTCTCTGGGCGGCTGCGCGCTTCCCGGCGAAGAAGCCTTCATGGCACATTAGGTGTTTGGAGACTCTATCGGCGAGGGCCTCGGAGGCGACCAAACACAAGCCACTCCTCAATCGAAGTAGCTACATGCTGATCCAATTTCACTGCTCTCATAGCCTGCCGTGGTCTCTATGTACAGGTATAAGGCCGCAGCATGGATCAAACAGACAGGCGCACATAGACTGGCAGGCAGGACAGAGACCCACACAACATGTCCGAGTCATATTCGGTCTGGGAGAAGGTCGAAGCACATTGCCGAAGGCTGCCCTTGTCTGATCCGGGATGTCGTACTAGTCAGGACAGGGAATTGACCTGAGACAGTATGAAAAGTTTTTTCCTGTGTCCGACCAGATGATCTCGAGTAGGGATGGGGTTGCTTTTGCCTCGGAGTGTGCTAGTGTGTGGGTGTCGCCTTGGTTTCTTGCTTCTGCCGTTCGTCTTTCTGTCCTGGAACCCACTCACTTTTCCTCTGGTAGCCTTGACGCCGCACGTTGCAGGTTTCTCATCCACCAGTGCAAGCTTTTCGGGCAAGACACCGCCGAAGCGTCCCTGGAGGCCTGTGTCCGCTAGGGTCGCTAGTGCAGAACTGCAAGCACTGCAGTGTGAAGGGAGCTTTGAGATGGCCTCGAAGTCGTAGCGCCTCAAACAGTTAATGTGCTTCGGGTCCAGGGTTTCCGTCTCTGGTCTGCGCAGGAGTGTGTGAGAAAAGCGCGGCCCGGCAGCATAGATTAAGCAGAAGGAAAGTCAAGTAGGCGTCGTTTGGCCGCAGCCGGATCCGTGGATTAGTCCTCGCTGCCCAATTCGGGGAGTGAGAGACAGAAGCAGAGCGCAAGCAGTTGAGGGGTTCTGAGCCTGAGGCAGGTGAACACCATGCAGGTGGTGCATTACTTCGGTGCCTCGGTGCGATGAATTCATGGGGCGAGAACCTTTGGTGGCAATCACCCAGCAAGCTAAGATGGCAGGGACAGGCAGTGGCAGTGACGAGAATCAGGCAGCATGTGCTTTGTTCCCGAAGGTCTCAACAACGCTGTAGCAAATAGTTAATGTAGAAGCACAGGCCGTGCTGGGATTTGTCTTTTTCCAAATTCAGCGATGAATGGTATCAAGACGGTGATCGGATTTTGGAACAATCTTACTGTAGCAGTCGGGGCATCCTTGCAAGTCTTGCGTGGAGGACGTGTTTTCCGTCGTTTGTTTGCGTTGCACAGCGGCCGAGTAAAGCGTGGCAAAGATCCAAGGTGCCAGGGGTGCACCACGTTGGTTTCTGGGCATGGGCTGGGCAACTCGGCAAAGGTCGGAGAAGAACGAGTTCTACCGTTATCCTGAGAGGGGATGTTACCGGGCTCACAGATGAGTTCGGATCCTTGCAAAAGTACATGCCAGTCAGGTCTTCGGGCGACGAATCGTGGATTTTTTGGCGAGGAATGTCGGTGACTTGAAGAAGCAAGGTGGCTGGGCATCGCCAGTTATCTGCACACTGACTCAGATGCTAAGTTTCATCCGGCCTGTCCATGTCTGTGCTACGGTGCACGTGCAGGGCTTTGGATTCTGCATTTGCCGGATTCACGGATGTAAGGACTGCAACGACGTAAGGGTTCCATTGAAGCATGGAAGGTGCGGCAGATGTGCAGCTTGGATTTTGGCTTGCTCCTCTCGAAGGTGTTTACTGGGCTTCTCGTCTTGGGACAAATGCCTCTGCCACTGCACGATCGAACCCTGGCTTCGCTTCCGGTTGAAAGTCAGATCTGAGTTGAGTCCCGCTTCAGATCCGGTGTCTCCAAGAGTCTCCAAGACAGAAGTACATAGAGTCTCAGCGCACCTTCGAATGTTCCATCGCGCGCAAACGGCTGTTCCTTTTTTGGGTTATTGTTGGCGCTTATTCCAATTAGGAAGCGGCTCGCTGCCTCTGCTTCTTTGGTAGTGTTGGCCCATCACAGAAGCAGGGCAGACTGGTCGACGTAAATCGGCGAGAAGCATAGGCGCACGAGTCAAGAAGATCGCCGGCAGGATGCAGATGTGGCAAATGCGACAGAAGCGATGGCCATGATATCAACCACGGCCACTCCGCCGACAGCTCTGTACTTCGCTGCTCGCTCGGAGCCGAGCAAAGGTCAGCTTATTGCGATATCTGCAGGCACCCCGCCCGTCTCCGGCAAGGGAAGCAATCCTGCGCTAGATAAACTGGCAGGCCAGTCACCGCAGTTTTATCCACAGTTGGAAAAATGGCGGTTGTCGCGAATGCTTGGCGCCTCGCGGGAATGTCGGAAACCGTGGCGCAGCAGAGAAGTTCGAAGCACGAAGGGTCGCCTGCATGGCAATGTTGGGCAAACAGCCCTAAAGAAAGCCCGATTTTCCCCCCTAAAAGACACATGGCACCCAGTTGGCAACGACATCCGCGCAAAGTCTGCAGATTAATTGGAGCGGGTCCATAATACTATTGTAAGCTTGGGCATAGGCCCAATCAAGCGTACTCGTCAGGGCCAAGAAAGTTGGAGAGTCGAGCGAAACTGAACCTTGCGTTGCCACATTGCAAGTGGATACCTCTGATGCCGTCATATGCCGTCGCAAGTCACAGCATTTTTCGGTTAAGTTGTGGGGACAGCATCCGTTCTAGTGCTGAATCATTCCGAACGACGGTAGGATCCGATTGAATGCCCGCTCTCCGAACATGGCAACCTCAGAGGTTGATATGAAAGACGGACAGTTCCACGACTATCCCATGCCAGGTTGGATCCGGGTTTGTGGAGTTATTGCTATCGTTTTATAGGCCGCAAAGTCTCAGGTCTCAGGGGAGGCGAGGAGTTGCGGCAATGTTCCTCAGGATACGGTTTGCTCCATGTTCCCAATGTGAAAGTGAGCAGTTGTTTATGTTATTTATGTTGCAAAGAGAATGTTCATAGGCAGTTTGCCGCAAGGAATAAGCCCCGTCTTCAAAGAGCTTGCAGCAGAAATAGGAGCGTCCTCTCTTTTTTGGTATGTGCAGGCAGCACCTTCTCCAAAGGATGCACCGACCAGACAGTGCTCGTGCATCGCATGAACAAGGTGCTGAGCTGTCGTCCATCCGAATTGTTCAACAGTCTTCGTAACACCGGGGCTCAGCTTAATATTGAGCTTCACGCTCCGCTGTCAGGAGCGCTGGCGAGACTTCGACCCACAAACCTGTGCTTTGAGATGCCCGCTCACGGCCCAGCAGACAACTTAAAGTCTGGCTTCAAGCTGAAGGCCTCGAGAGCAAGGACAGGTACCCTCTCGAAAAGGCAGAGGCTGCAGGGCCTGGCAGCCTGGTCCAGCCTTTTCAGTCCTGTTTGGCAGGACTTCCGCCATCAGCGGGCGGTGCGGAGCTGCTGGACGACTTTATCGCTTCGCCATTACTGCAGCAGCTTGCTCCGGGATCCATGGCGACGAACCTTGCTGTCACAAATGCAAGGCAGGATGTGATTTGCAGATGCTGCCTCGAGAACCCCACGCCCTACTCTCATCCTGTCGGAAGGCCCTTGAAGGATTGCTAACTCTGAGGCGTCAATCCAGAAACATGGCCACCTTCAAAACCCGACAGACCTGTGCATTGTCCGCAGGCCCGCTCGCAACTGAATCGCCCCTCAATCCCAGTGCCCATGCTACAATCTTGCAATGCATTGTCATCGCTTGCAGGGTCAAACCCACCGTCGATATGGAATGGAGGCACTGCAGGCATCAGCCACGACATGTGAGGATCCGCCACCCGAGTCTCACGAAAGCGATGCACGTGGCAGAAGAAATCCTTGAGGCTCAGAAAAGTGAGTCGGACGTGGTAGGGCGCAGAGAGCAGAAGGGACACGGGGAGTGTTTGGATCCGAGGATGTTGTCGGGAGGCGACAAGCTCGTGGTGCAGTCCCGCAGCCAGAGTAAAGCTTGACCCACTGGCGAACCTTCTGCAGGTTGGTGGACATCTGGACGAGCCGTGCACTCAGGTTCCATTACTCAGGTCGTCTGAAGCATGAAGCAACCACAAGCATCGAAGACACAAGCAGCTCTAGGCTTCCAATATTGATACAGTATTGCTGGGAGGGGAACATTGCATGTCACTCTGGTGTAAATTGATTTGTAAGTCGTAGAGTTGCTTCGAGTCCGGAGCGAAACCGCGAAGCCTGCAGAAGTGTCTGGCTCCAGAGCACTGAGCTCAAGAGAGCGCCGAGCATCGCCGAGCCTCCCTCACCTGAAGGTCCCGACGTCGTCGTGGAGCCCAAGCCGCCAAAGAGCGCGGCGCTGCGCTCTCTGCCGCCATCGCCGCAAAGGAGGCTTGCAGTGCGAGAGCCTGCGAGTTGTAATGGGTTGGGAGTGTTGGATGAAGCTTGATGAAACGCCCAGTTGGCGTCGTGGAATTTGGTAGAAGATGCTAGTATTAACTTGGGTTTTACACAGCGTGTGCAGAGGCGGCTTGCCGTGGCCGTCGAGGCGAGCGTTTCCTGCTCGCATTCCTCCGCCAGCGATTCGGCTTGGTCCGGGTGCCCATGAGCTGTCATAAGTGTGCATGAAGAGAGCTGTGGTGGACATGTGAGGTCGCCAGTGCCATTCCAGACTGGGTGTCGTATGTCGCTGTTGTTCATGCGCTTCTGAGACTGTGCTCGAAGCGGTCACCCAGGCCTATGCATTGCGGGACTTATGCCTACGCGTGGAGAGGTGCTGGTTGCGCATTGTTTCCGATTTGCCGTGCCACGATGCGCATACGTGGCAGATGAGCAGAAGATTTGCGATTCAGCACGGCTAGGTACTGTGCTGCTGCAGCTGACTCTCCTGAATGGTGCAGCCAACGTGCACAGGCATCTTCAGGAAAGTTCCGATGAGAAGCTATGCAAAGCAATGTGGAAGTTAGGGTGATTGATGTCATCCCAAAGCTCGACCCCGCCAGATCGCAGTCGCAAAGACTAGAGCACCCATCCCTTCGTTTCAACAAAACGCTAAATCCATCCACTAACGGACAACCAGAGCACCACCGCCAGATGCCGCTACTGTAGGCAGTGGCTTCCTAATCGCTGCTGCGGCACAGGACAGCAAGCAGGCCACTCTCCACGAAGCTCGAATCTTGCTTTGCACCATCGCCTCCACCAGCCGCCGGGCCCCAAGCAGCCAGTTTGGGCTTTCAAGGGAAAGCGTGGCTTACAGAACATCCTTAACAAAGTTAGCAGTTAACAGTTAAAGCCAAGCAAAATCAAAGCTACTGCTACGTCCGCCAGAGGGGTTGTGTTGCAGTCTGCCTTCAACGTCGGTACCTAATTGGCAGACTACTTGTGCGATTGCATTTCGCTTTTCGCGGCATGGTGGCACAACAGCATAGACTCGACAGGTAATTCAGGCCGTGCCGTGACAGCGGCTTTCTGTGATGCTTTGGAGTAGAGTAGTTAATGAGTCGCCGCAACTGCCACATTTCCAGGCATGTTGCGCGAGTGGGAGGAGGCGCCCGGACATCTTCGCATTGAATTTGGAAGACCCACGTCATGTTGCTGTATGCTTCTCTGAGAGTGGACGCCACGCGAGAGCTGCATCCGATAACTGCAGCACAGCCCGGCCTCCGGAGCCTCCGGCCTTCGTCGGATTCGTGGTTCTTCCTTTGACGGAGGCAATGGGCACAGAGCTGCGGGTGCACACTGTCATCGTCGATGAGTGCGCGGCTGGCATGGATTGGAGCCGGGCTTAAACTCGCCTAGGCCAACTTTGCGCCTGCATAGTCATCGCGGTTGCAGGGATTCAACCTCGCAATAATCAGCCTGCACATCCGAGCTCTGTCAGTTTCCATGCTCAAGGAGGAATTTTGAGGCCAACGTGCGAGCACGACCAACTCCGGGCTGCTCGCAGAGCCGTTTAGGCATGGTGCTCCTCCGCCAGGCTGGTGGTGTCGCTGAGAAAGCGCACCAGGTAGAAGGCAAGCTCTGTGGCATCGACGTGGTCTCTTTGAACAGCATAGCCCCATCTAGTCAACCGGTGGACTTTGGCGACCTTATACAGGACCCGCTCCCTCCGCTCTCGTGCTTCACAGTCCAGGAGGAAGGGCTTGACCCGACTCCGACTGGTCCCCGGATGTGGGAAGACCACGAAGCCGAAGATGTCAGCCTGCATTCAATAATCGAGGCTGAGAAGTCCTGGAAATCCTTCTGCTCGAGGGGCTTGGAGAGCTCGGAACGGCACGCGTTTCCACCAAACAGAGCCTTGCATGATCTCCATGACTTGAACTTGCACGAGTTCCTGGAGGACACGTCTCGTTGCATTTTCAGGTCCTTGATGGCAAAAACATCAAAACACCCCCTGATGACAGAACAACAGCTACAGTCATGGAAGCACCTCACTATGCGAGAAGTTTGCAAGCATCGCAGGATGTCGCTTACCAGCCATCGAAGTTCCAAAAAGAGATCAGGGCGGGCAGAAGGCAGGCCGCAGTCCGTGATGCGACTTGTCTTTTTCAGACATAATGTGACGCCAAACAGCATAGAACACATTGTGGATGAAGTTGTTGTGCAAGGCATTGGTTGAAGTGATGTGACCAGTCTTGTCGACGGAGTAGCACAGCAAATGCCAGTTGGCGAGGTAAAGCTTAACCTCCGTCAGCACTGTGAGGACAGAAGTTGCGGCATCACGCACCCTGCCACGGCATGATGCAAGCATGCTTTCGCACGACACAGCACAGGACAGCCGTGAGGTATACATGCTGCTGCCTTGCACATGCAAACATGAAGCAGCTTGAAAGGGCAGCACGACACACCACAACGGCACGATGTTTTGTGGACATGTTGTGTGTGTGGTGGCTACACGGAGGAGCAGGCATAAGCCCGAAAAGTAAGAAGAAACGAAGAATGCGAAACTGCGACACACACACACACACACTTAAAAAGACCAGCAAGAAAAACCTCGAACAAACACAATAAGTGATACTACTTGTGATCGTCCAGGAATAGTGTTGGTGTTGTGATGTTGCTGCCATACTTCTACTAGTGGTAATCGGAATAGCAACAGGACTAGAAAAAAGCAGCAGCAGCAGCAGCAGCAGCAGCAGCAGCAGCAGCAGCAGCAGCAGCAGGAGTAGTAGTAGTAGTAGTAGTAGTAGTAGTAGCAGCAGCAGCAGCTATAGAAGTAGTACAGCCAATTGTAGTCGTAATCGTAGTACGGGCTAATCATAGTTCTAAGACCGTAAACCCGAAAAGTGACATTGACTAAAGTTGCTACCGGGTGCTCTATTTTGCAAGAAGTGGTATTTCTTACTGAGCGTACCCTAACTCTCCAACAGCGTTTGCTGTTGCAGAGGGCTGGCGGCTAGAGCAGCACTGAAATCTTGGTGCAGCGATACAGTTTCGAATGGTGCAATGAGTACACCGGCCTGGGAGATGCAAAGTCATGTTGATATTGCCAACGCAGTGTATATCCTTGTTTGTGACTTGTAGTGATACGTCTCCCCAAACGTCGGTAATTTCGGACATGTGCAGCTCCGGAATGACTGGGTTGGGTGATTTGTAAGCTGTGTTTTGTGGGCAACCGCTTAGATGTGATGTGGTCTGGAAGGTGCCAGGTCTGTGAAAAGAGTCCTGAGGTTTTCTCAGGAAACACGGGCGAAGGGGGCGACTAAATGGTGGTGATGGCAGAGAATCTTTATGGACAACCCCTCTGGGCCGGCAACAAGAAACCTCCGCCTGATAGGCATTCTGACCATGTGTAACCGGCAGGAGGAAAAGAGGTGTTGCTTGGGAGGGATTTTCACCTGCGCTAGCGTTTGCCCCAAAGCGTGCGGCGCACACACACACACACCACACTTGGGCGAGGCGAATGTGCTGCAAATGCTCATACTTCTGTCGAATGGAAGATCTGGCTGCGAACAGGGCACATTGATCTTACACACGCAAAAGCATCTAGCAGGTTTTTGCGGCGCTTGAGCAATTCCACGTCAGATATGAACATAGAAACCTCTCGAATCGTGTTCTTGTGTGTGCTATGATGCACAGGAGGTGCCGGGCGGAGGTGGTGGCGATGATGAAACTGATGTTGATGACAAAGACGACCATCGCCAACACCGATAGGGCCAACCTTGAGGATGTTGACCTACATGTGCAGTTGCAAGCCTGACCTTCTGATCCTCATGCATCCACGGCCCATTGCCACAGCCTCAGACCCTCCGTCCGCAGGGATTCAGACTCCGACCTGGCAGTCGAGCAGGGCCCAAGACGCACCCGTGCGCCCCCGGCAGCTTGCCTGGAAACTCTGAAGTCTCCTGCAGTCTTTTGAAGCTCCCCCGTGAAAAGGACTCCTAAGAATCGGAAGCAACGACAATCATCAGGCCTAGGGAATTGGAGTTGTCAAGTCAGATTCGTAAGATGGTTCGGCCATTGTCACAACTCGACTTTCAGAACCTTCTGTTCCGTAGGATCGAAGGTGTCAGAAACATGTGAGATCCCGTACGGAAACACTGACATCTGACGACTGTGGGGCATGTGCTCGCGCACAAATGTCCCGTTTCGTTTAAGGGTGGAGAACTTGTTCCGCACGCTGTTGCTACTTTTACTTCATAAAGTTTGGCATGAGTGTACAGTGTAGACAGTTCGGAGTCTCGCCCTACCAACACGCGAAACGCGTTCATCATGCATGCAAGGTCTGGAGATTTTACTACGACGCCATCTAGGGAAGAGTGAGAGTGAGGCTTCCCCGGCACAGGCAGAGAACTTGCTGGTTTGCAACTCTCCAAGCAGAGGTTTGTTCCACATTTGAATGCCCTTTCGAGTGGAGTTTTTGGATCTGAGTCTTGAGTTAGTAGCGCAAGTATATCCTTAGAGGCACTACTTTGGAACGACCTCCTCGCTAGTCCGTTTAACCAGATGGAGTAGATGTGTTTGAAGCTAGCAGTTGCTGACCCCAGCGGAATGGCAACTGCACCTTTTTGGCCAAGCAGAGCTGGTGCACACCATCTGCTTGTGAAAGATCCCCTGAGCGGCAGCAGGTTCAGAGACACCACCTCTGTCTTGGACGGAAGGGTGATGTTTACTCTGAATCCTTGCAAGGGGACCTGACCTTTAAAGAGCTCATGCAGCAAAAGCGTTCAAGTTCAGGTCCCCACTCGCCTGCTCCTCCGTGGGGTGACCCTGCTCCAAAACGGAGTTGAAGATGTCTGAGAAATAGCTGCGAAGGTTTGCACCGTGGGTCCCGTGGGTGTAAACGTGATGCACTCACAGCCACAATTTCATTCTCTTTAGCCAGCGACCTGCTTTACCTGCTCCAATTTACCAAAGTGCGAAAGATCCTTCGCCCTCGCTGGTGAATGTGTATTGTATAGAAAGGTCCGGGCCGGTCACGGCAGTTACGGGCGGGCAGCGAACTGCTTCGTCATGCTGTGTTTCTTGCTGGATACGTCCTTCGGAGCATGTGCAGATTTTCTCGATTCTAGCGCATACTGCTGGCACGAACCGTAAGGGTGCGCAAGCGTGCAGACAAGTAGGACTTTTCCAGCAACCTGATCGACCTCGGCCATCCCTTCGTGCACATCTTTTTTACGAATCAACTTGGGTTGATTCCTGTGACAAGCCCCTTGGCTGAGGCCCACGAACGACTGGGCTGACGCCTTCGTGTCTATGGGCATGTGTGATAGTGGAAAGCTTTCATGACAAGATGTGGCAGAAATCGGAGACAGAAGCTGCTCCTTGATCGTAAGGTCATCGACGGCTAGACACAATGCGCGAGAGGGGTGACGAAGACCTCCTCGTATCCGAAAAAGCGACAGTCTCGCGAAGTTTGGCCAGTAATGTTCATGTCTTAGTGATCGGAAGCCCCCTTCCAGTCGACCAGTTGGGCTCCCGACTACACATACATGAGCTCCACATGCATGCATCCCAGAAGACAGGCGGCTGCACGCCAGAGTCATCCACGGCGTTGCTGTCGAGTCCTCAGTGATGGCTCGCTACTCGGCAAACTTGCATATACGGACTTAGTATGCATAAAGGGAGACACACTGGGATGTATAATGTACTACTGTATCAGAAGTTATAGCACAGATCTCAAAGCACCGGTTCTGGCCTGAGACCTACACCCCCTACATGTGTGTACACAGTCGGTCGAAGCCCAAGTGCACTCAGCGACTGCTGCGACGGCTTCGACCAGAGCCGAGGCTCATTTACTTGGAACATATACCCATCCTCTGGAAACTCTGGATAGGCACTCCAAGGATGATCTGTGGGATAGTCGGCTGTCGCCGGAGACTTTAGGACGGTTCTCGCCGCGCTCCGAAGCCTCCTGAATGAAGCCAATACTCACCTGGACCACCTGGACCGTGGCCCTGCATCCGCCCTTGCCCGTACGCCGGGGAAAGCTGGGGAAAGCATTTTGCTCCTGGTCTCTGGGCGCCTCATGGGGTCGTCGCGGTCTCCTGGCGGCTTTCTGGTGTTGGTGGTCTCTCCTGATCGGACCTTAAGCTTTTCCCTGGCGATCCCTCACCGAGGTACTAAGCTTGGGCACACGCTCAGAGAAAGGGCAGTTTACCTATCCTGTCCACAGTCCATAGATGCAGAGACGAACAGGGAATCCTCCCACTCACGCCATTACGCTCTCCTCGATCAGTGTCTGCTACTGTAGGCGTGTTGCGGCCATGCCTGAAACTGAAGGCATACCCCCGGACCAAAGCGGCGGCTGCCGTCGTGTTCAATGTCTTGCGATCTGGGTTCTACTCCACCAAGCCAAACCTAGCCGACCCGCCCATTCAAAATGAGAACTTTTTAACCCGCGTCGAACCGAAAGCACTGTCTGACAGAAAGCCCCGTCCAGCAGAAGCCCCGAAAACCATGTCGCAGAAACTGCGATGTGAAAGACAGCACCAATATGTAATGGGCGGTTTTCGAAACGCTTGCCCCTAGCAGCGAAGAAATGATGAGAAAAGCCCGATCACACACGAGACTGTCAGCTGTTGGGGTCCCAATCTAGAAATTGCCAAGCTTGCAACCGCAAGCTGCTCCAATCCCCACGTCCTCATTGACTTTTCATTGGCAAGGCTGCGGCTGCAGCCTGCAAACTTGGCGCGGCACACAGTGGTTGCACTGCTCTGCTGCGCAAGTATCAAAGCTCGGCAACGTTTTGGCACATGTGTATATAACTGCTCACGTTTCCTGATGCGCACATGACGACATATGGAGAGACGAGGTTTCCAACAGCAGGTGATTGTGTTTTGCAGACAAGATGGTCACAAGAGTCAGCTGACACCATGGATTGCCGAAGTTGCGCTTGTACAATATGATGGCTCATACTGGAAGTCCATCGCTCAAGGCATCGCCGCTTAAATCAAAGTGTGTGGCAGTGTAACATCTGCCGCCACGTCTTCGCTCTGCACTTCAGTTTTATGCTGGGGTCGTAAGAGGGCGGGTCTTTAGTCACTCGGAGGTTCTTGTGGGCGATCACAAGCAGTTGCCTCCGACGTCGTGCCGGCGATTTTTGAGCCTCGGGCATGCCCCCTCTTCGTTTGGTCGGGAGACCGGACGTCGACGTCTGTTTCGTTCATTGGTCTTACATGACGCATGCCTGCCGGTTGCAGAACTGCCTTGTCAGTACAGCGCCAGGTCTCTGGTGCAGCCGCAGATCCTGGAGGCACGGGTGCAGAATGTAGGAAGAGGCGCCCTACACGTAGTCTGCCTGTCTTGTGCACCATTGCGGCGTAAACGCCCGCGAAAGCAACTTTCAATTCAGCACCTCAAGGTTGCACGGCACAGCATCTCAGCATTATGATTCCCCCAGTCAGCTTGACCTGAGCTGTCAAGCCAGAAAAAACCGAACTTCTGTAGCTGAACTCCGAACAAAAAGCAGAAGAAGGCCGGAGCAGTTTGAAGGACAGACGCTCCTACTTGGCACGCCCTTCTTGTTAGACGCGTAAGGACCGCCAATGTTTCAAACGCGCCCTCAGCCAGCAGAAACTGAAGTTTGGATCCCGCTCGGAAGCACTTCAGGGAACTGGTCACAACCGCTCATTGCTGGAGCGCTGTGTCCTCGCATCGGGCAGGCACCGGTTTCGACTGCGCTCACGGTTTCATTTCGAGAAGCACGTTGACGTTTACCACAGCCTGCAATAAGTAACATCTGCGGCTTCTTATGTGCTGCGCATTCAAGCGCAGACCGCGCCATCAGATATGTGCTGTTCCGATCTGCACAAGCTACTACAGCTCCAAGCTGAAAGTCCTGAATTATCACCGTCATAAACCTCAAGATGCAGACCATCCCAAGCTCCCAAGGCTTAGAGGTGCCTGACACGCTACCCTGTTACACCCTCCCATCTGCTCAAGTGTCTAAGCGCAGGGTTCACCAGCTCCGCGAGCAGTACCGAATGCAGCGGCCTCAGCTAAGGCGCATAACTCTCTCACACTACGCAGCCTCGCAGCCTGCCTTGGCTGAAGATGGGAAAGAACGGGTGCCACTGCACTGCGTTCTCTACTCGTAGCTGTTTGGTGTACTAAAGAAAGACTTCACGAGCAAGCCATGTGAACGGGGAAAGGTGAGAGGCGGGAAGGGGGAGGGGAGAGGGAGGGAGAAAACGAGGGAACACCTGTCCAAAATGGGGGAGAAGGGGAGGGGCCAGCCGGGGTGGGGGGTCGCAACTGTGGCCAAAAAGCGCATATCACCAAACTTTTGGGCTGCAGGGAGGATTAGGTAGAGGGTACTTTTTCCTGCGCTTTACGGCCATAGCTGTATATAGCTGTTAGTGGCCGGTGACCGCCATGCTCAAAGACGCAGGTGATTCAAGCCTTCAGTCCAAGGTCTCATGTCTCCCGTAAGCCCCTGAGGCATCCCAGCATCGGCCGCCTTGTCAGCAACTTGTTCTACAGCGGGAGCCGCTTTGGCTGAAGAACGATGGGGTCCGGATGGTGTCTCACGGTGGCTGGAGCACAGAGAACAGTCTGGGAGACGAATGTAAGGATGCAGGAAGCCCCCAAGTCAAGTTCAACTCTATGGAGCTGTTGTCATGCTCATCCTCGCGAGCCACCTTTGGGTAAACCTTCCACAGCTTGGCACGGTGTGCAAAGGGTTGGAAACTCCACGGCGAGTTGCCGAGGACTCCGCTTTGTTGGATGTAAGCTGCATGAGCTGCAAGACACATGAGGTCCATGGTTTGAGTTCACCCGGCAGTAGAAGCAAAGAACGCCGCAAGGACCGCCAAGCCTGCGAGCGAAGACCGCTTGTGTGGATGGATGTCCAAGGCAGGGATGGATGCTAAGCAGGGGGTTGGCTTTGTTAGCAGACTTGGAATGAAAACATAAAGACCTTTTGGGCAGTCGTGCTTGCACACGTATCCGCTGGTATGGGACACTGTTCATGTGCGAGAAGCTTGCGCGAAGATTCGAGCTGTTCGCCTATTCCTAGGCCCCCAGCATGCACAGAGGTCGCGAGGAGGCTCCGAACAAGTCATACATCAATGCTGCTGAGGCAGGGCCGCTCCATCAGCGGAAAGTCTTCCTGTACACCTAAATTCCAGCAACTCCAGGGTTCTTTTGGGTTCGGTTTGTGTTGAACCCAACCGTTTATGAACCGGATGCGGTTCATGACGCTTCGGGTCGCGCAGTTCCGTTCGGCGGTTCGCACGGTTATCTATTGCCTTTACTACTGAGGCCCCAGTTTAATCCCTGCAATATAATGCAATGCTGCTGGTTCCTTCCACGGCCGCAAGCATTCTGCGTTTTGGACGGCCTGAATTATAAACTCTCCTCGCTCACTGGCCGCAAGCGATATGCAAATAAAACAGTCTCGGAAACGCATCTCCCTCCTGTCCAGGGTTTCCGCCGACTTCCTCGCTTCGATGTGTTATGGGGGTTCGGTTCCTGCGGTTCCGGTTTCCCGGTTCGCGGTTCTACATTCAGGTGGTACCTGAAGGCTATTTGTGCCCCAATCGCTCTTGCAGCCCTACGTAGGTTCTTCTCGGTCAGCTACCGCTAACTAGCATTACTGAATTTTCTGGTTGTCGCGAGCAGTCGATGTCTCACGTCGCGCAGGTGAACAGCTGTCTCAAGGTCGTGACGCGCTTGCGTGAGCGCATTGGGATCCGCCCTTGGTTCTTTACTTTGCCGCGAATACTGGAGAAATAGTTGGCGGCATTTACGATGGCCGCCCTTTTTCGACTGCGGAGTTTCCGTATGGCAGATGCACCAGGAGATTTCAGGTCCTGCCACCCCAAGGGGGAGGGTCCAATGCGTGATCTGGTTCTGTGTCGAGGCCAAAACCCTCTGTGGCTCTCCTGACCTTCTACAAGGGTCAGCTCGAAGAGCTGATGAAGGCCAGGACAGTCAGAGAGAGAGAGAGAGAGAGCGCCGAGCAACCATGTCTTTCTCCTAGCCCCCAAGGGCCCTTACACAGGGGCGTGCCTTGCGGCGCGGGGAGCCTCACACGCTCCTCGGACCCCGGAGAACAGAAGAGAACAGGGGAGAGGGAGAGAGCGGAAGGAAAAGGTTTTGGTTTCTGCAGGGTGTCGATTTATGAGATCGGCTTGTGTATTTGTGTTTAGGGTATGGGGTTAAGTTGAGGAGGTTCAGGACAGATTGGTTTGAGAGTCTTTTTGCTTATTGACCTTCGTGAGGGGATCCTTCTGGTGCCACTGTCAACACTCCTGGGTCCTGAGCATTTCATCAAGATCTCCGTTTCATCCTCCACCAACCGCAAGCACATCGCAAAGTTGAAGTTGGAGAGCGACCACCTCCGTGCAGACAAGTTGGGCGATGACGTAGATAATTTTTGCCAGTTGACACTGGCCATTATCAGAAGCTCTCATGGTCCCATCGCTGTTTCTGCAGGCCGTGCCAAGTGACCTCGATGTCGAGGTGGTGGCTATGAGAGCTTTCAGATTCCGATTCCAGAGTGCCTGTTTAGGGAAACCGGGTAGGTGCCGTTGGCTGCACACGTTCCACACCTTGCCCGTGTGCAACTTGAACTTCTCGGTAATCACCTGGGCAAGTCTTGATCTGAAATCACCGGCACTGCCATTTGCATCGTCTGCCGGCATGCGTCCATAAGACATACAGCGACGACCTGTGCTACAGGTACTCACTGTGGATGCCTGCCAGGGTAGTGAGTTCGACTTCGTGATTTTGATGCTCGGCATGCACTGCGCCGTTCCACCAAGCGCGACCAGGCTCAACGCCGTAAGCGCTCTCCGGCTTCCGCATTCATCCGCACCCCACGCATTGCGTCAGCTCATCTTCGCCCTCTTAGGAGCACCGTGCGTGCAAACCGAGATCTTCGTCTCGGCTTTGTAAAGGCCGGGTCGAAAGGTTTGGAAGCTTGTGCCGAAGCTGTGTGGCAGTGCATGGGGCTGCAGCAAGACAAAGGTTCAACTCAACTCGAAGAGTCCAAAGACTCAGCTTACAGCAGGATGCTCAGCGAATTTGCGTGGCAACGTCAAGATCCAGGCTCGTGACCTTTGACTTATGCCAAGCTCACGAAGATGCGAACAGTCGAATCCCGAGCCGAGCCTAATTCAAAGTGCGAGCTCCGTCGAGCCCATAATCGTGATTCCAGAAACACCCTTGCTGTACAGCTCGAGCGTTGGGCTGGAGCGGGAGCACCAGCAAAGGGCCAGGACATGCAACTAGTAACGCTTCTTCAGAGGCTACAGCTCTTCATCGTGGGACATCGCCAGACCCTTTGTGCAGATGGCGATTGGAAGCAAGTCTACGAGGCGCTTCGGGGGCATTCAGTTCTGAAGCATGACCCTAGGTTCCACTAGATCAGCAGCACAGCAGGGCTGTGCATGGAGTAAGCTCGGTTCGAGGAACGTGCCCTGTACTCCGTCTGGTGAAGTTGACCGTTGTGTGGTGCACGTATCGAGTTGGGAAGCGACTTTGCAGCTGTTTGGAACCAGATGTAAGAGCAAAGATTCATGTGCTCCCTCACCAAGATGACTGCGATTAGGAACATTGCGGCCGAACGACTATTTGACTGGCATGTCTCAAGAAGCTCATGCCTCACAGCCAAGAAGCTTTGTTAACAGACTGAGCTCACAGACGTGCTGAAGGTTCTGCTTCTATGTCAGTTGTACTCTAAGAGTTCTAGGGGAGTGTATATCTTCGGTGCACCTTCGCGAGATGATCTGCAGCGAGGCATGCACGGCAGCGACACCCGAGGATGCTTGCGGCCGAGAGTTGAGATGTGCAGCCTTTGCAGCTCAATCTCGCATCGCGTGCCACGGCCCTTTGATTTGAAACCCCTAATGATATTCAGGTGAGGTCGATTGTGGTTCCGCAGGGCCGGAGAGGCAGAGAGTGAGGAAGCGCAGATACAGAGAATTGTTTCCTTTTCATTGGCGGATATTCACGCATTTGCACCAAGCCGATCTTACTATTGGCTGTAGCCAGCGCCGAACAGAACGGTTAGCTTCCCCGAATTGCCGCGAATACATGCCGTGCGAATTGCTTCAAGCATCCGGCCACAACAGCAGAGCACCTGTTCCAGCGCTTCCTGAATACCCTGCAAGTTTGCTGAAAGTCTGAGGCCCGGCCCCAGCGTCCCTCCCCGGCAGCCGGCTTCGTCTCCGTTTTCGATGCCTTGCGCCGTGCCAAGGCCGTCCATAGCCTGACTTGGGCTAGAACATACGGCAGTGCTTGTTTCTCGTCATCCCTTCACATGATGCATTGCTATGTCGAGTGCGAACAAGTATGATCCTGCTTGTATCTGCTTGTCTTACTTACTAGCCGTGGCTATACGGGTTGCCACTGCCTGGATCTATGAAGCCTCCATGCGTTACTTGCGAGTTTGGGACCTTATGGAGCCTGGTTTCGTTGCGTTGCAGACTAGAGCAGGAGGTGTTGGCGAAGTTTGTACCAGTCAGTCAGAACCTGGTTGGATTCGCATGATACTGTCCACGGGTCTTAGTTTTGCTTCAGTGTCTTCCGGGCATGTGAAGGCTTAAGTTGCATGACATATATGGGCTTCTGCGGTGTCGACATAGCTTCGCATCAACATCTAAGCATTGCCCCACAAACTCTGCTAAGTCTGCCTTGTGAAACCTCAACTGACCCTTGTGATGACTGGGCGGGAGAGAAGTGTGCAGCACAGCGCCAGAGGAATTGGATGCAGAGCAGAAGGCACTTCAGGCCATGGAGGACAGCCCACGAGAACCTAAGAAAGCGGGTGGATTTTCGACTTTTCGCACGACTTTTCACGTGGAGGAGCAGAGCAAAGATCCAGGCCGACGTTCCCCGAATCAGCTTGAGTGTGTGGGTCGGATCTGATTAACCCTGGAAAGTTAGCAAGGCATGAAGGCACTGAGTCGCTGTGCAAAGCGTAGAGTCACCTGCACGAGGATGATCATCACCACGATCCTCGCCTTCATCCTTAGCATCAGCGCATCAGCATAGTCATGTCTTTGATGGTCGGTGCTCGTACCAGTCGAGTGCTGCAGGCCGCCGGCCGTCGCGACCTTCCTCTGGCACTGGACCTGGAACTTGTGGATCATTTTCTTCGAACTAGCATTACATAAGGCTTAAGGCTTTTTCCAGTTACCACATGTCTCTCAGTGCCTCCCCACAAAGACGCCTCAAGAGTCGGGAATACTCAGCTTTGACGCGTGCGCGTATGGAGCCACAACCTTCAAAGGCTTTCAAGGTTACTTCCTGGCAATGCTAACCAAACGCACGCTGAGGAGCAGAGTCGTGAGCCTTGCCTGATTCGCCACGAGGACGTGCAGACCGAATCTGTTGAGTCTTTTCTGAGGGATTGTTTCTTTGTTGGACACAGTGGGCTTGTGCGCGCAGACTACGCCGTCAAGGACCAAGCCACACCAGCAGCACTTCCAAGCAAGAGTGGTTCGCAAGAGCTCTGCATGCCAGAAGTGCCAATGCCAGGCTTATGTGGCAGCAGGCAAGTTTCCGCAACCAGGCGGGGTGCCGAGGGAACAGCAGACAGCAGCTCGATCCTGTTTATCCTCTTGTACCGGTAGTTGATTCAGCATTTGCACTTGTGGTTTCATGTGTGCGAAACATCGCGGACGTTGTATTGGCACAGCCTTGACCAGTGGTTCCTGCTGCTGATTCCAGCTTTCGCCCTTCTGTGAAGAAAGTCCACGAGTCCCGACAGTCCCGAAGCGATCGATTCAAGCCGGACTACTATCTACGCAGGTAAAGCTAAGTGTCAAATTTACTCGGCACTTTGACGAAAGAGAAGTCGAGAAAGAGGGGGTAGCTGGTAGCTCGTGAGTGAAGACACCTCGTACTTCGCGGTGAGAAAGAGCTCCGCAGTCTCAATCAGGCGTCGCAGCCTTCGATTCAGCGCAGGCGCGAGATTTAGAATGACCTTGTTGCTTCCCGTTTCGTTGAAGACAAAAATTCAGAGTGATGTGACAGCATTTTCGGCATAGCTGCCAGGAACGACGGCACTTACCAAAGCAGTACGGCCGTTGCTATCGGCGGCGGATTCCGCAGTCGTAGAGATGTGTACGTCGGACGACTCAGCCTCTGGGGGCTGGGAGGGTCAGGTGATTTCGGTGCCAGCATGCTCCATCGCAGTTTCCCCGGAGGTCTTCAGGGCTCAGCGCTTGCGTGCTTCGAGGGTAAACTTGAAGTTGCGGCTTACGGGCAAGCAGCCGAATCTTCCGACAAGCCAGAGCGCCCGGTCAGTAAGAGGCTTCACGTCGGATTTCTCGCTGCAGCCATCAGCTAACAGTACTCAGTACTCCAAGAAGCTTACAGTAAATCCCCCTCTACCGAGACACACACGTGAAGCGCGCACTGGCGGAAAGGCCAAAGGCGGGGGGTACAAGGTAGGACCCGTTTTTTCCGTCTCGGAGAGCTCTCCCAGGCCATGGAGGCCACAGCCAAGGCCCACCTGCAGAGCCTCGAGGCCTAGGGCCCCTAGGGCCTGGGGCCTACCGTAGGGATTTTAGAGGCTTGGCCGGGGCATCTTCGGGCTGAGGACTTGTTTTCTCGGCTTGCGCTGCCATGCTTTGGGTTCAGAGAAGGGCGAACGGGTCGATCATGTGAGGAAACCTACAAGTGGAGGAGCAGCATCGAGTGTTGTTTCGGCATGTGGGAGCCGTAAGCGTAACATGAAGGTACCTGGGAGGAGTGTGATAGGAAAGGGCAACACAGAGTAAACAATGCTAAGGTACCGAGTTCTCACGCAGCCGCTTGCATGCCTCAAGCTTGCTTAGAGCGCTGCTTGGGCGCAGGATACAAGAGAAGAATCAACAAGCGCAGGATACAAGAGAAGAATCAACAAAGCAAACGAAGACAAGGTTGCGACCACAAACGAATTCCTTCTCTAAAGTGCTAGGGCCTAGTTTCAGGCAGCTCTTCAAATCAGTACTGGTAGCGTCAACTAACTCGAACTGCGCGTTCAGTGTGTCACGTCCAGTCCAGGGACTGGAGGGGAGAGAAACACTGTCGCCAACACCGGGCCCTGACTGGGAAAAACAGCTAGCAACCCAGGGCATCGAATTGGACCATGCCCTGCAAGATCCTCCAACAACCTTTGACTAATTCGACATGCCTTGCTCATGCCTGTGGAATCTTTCTCCGTGACATCGGCTGGGCACGAGAGACTTGGTCGCAAGCCATGACAGCACACCGTGCCCCGCGGAAGTCGAGACATGTCCTCGAAGGGTCGATTGCCAGCAGAGGCCAATCATAGCCATCCAGGAGACGGCACAGGGGACAAAAGACTGCTGTCCACACATCCCAGAGCAAGCCGGGAGATGTCATTTCCGAGGATCGAGATGAGCCCTCATTTGGATGAGCCAACCCAACTTTTGGGTCCTGGTAGCAGCTGGGTTTCCAAGAGAGCCTGGTCTGTCCTCTTTGTCCTTCAGCGGTTGCAGCACCTGCACGATTGCATGAGTAGCTGTGCAATTCCCCCCAGGGTTTTGGGCTTATGGCCTCGCGGCTGTACTTCCCCAGGCAGCGAAGTACCTTTGTTAAGCCGAGCTCCTGACGTCTCGCCGTTTCCTGCATATCTCCGTGTCTAAGATTGCCACGGAGCAGGTGCAGGCAGGCCCAGGTGGGGTCGTGCTTGCGAGTTCTGAAGTTCAGCCAAGGTCGAAGCTCGAAGCGTCGCTCCGAGGCCGCATTTAAACGTCTCAGCAAGCAAAGCGATGCCTATACGCGTAGGAGCACCGCATGAAGCCCCTGCTCTGCTTTAAGGCTGCACCCTGGCAGGGAAGGCCCCCCGATCAGAAACAGGCATGCCGGTAAGCAGCCAAGGCTCCTCATCACGGTCCTCCGTGCCGGTCGTTCCAACCAGCCATGCGCCAGGCGAAATTGTGTCTGGTGCTTCCGACCACACATCCATCGGCCCCCCTTGTGGCATCCATAACATGCGAAGGTTGCACAGGCCCAAACTCTCAGCCACTTGTGCCCGCGGTTGCTTGCCATTGCTTGGCCATGTGGCGGCAGTAGATTTGTCAGGAACGACTGCGTGGATAGCAGTGACTGCCGCTTGACCTGACAGAGAGCGGTATTCATGCTGGCACCAGGTGGACCTGTGTTGGCCCGCTTGGTGTTGATAGTTAGAATATCTTTCGTATCAGTCTCAAGCCCTTGTCGAGGATTCGGGGTAGCAGGAGACATCTCTCAAGGAAATCTGCACGATATTGTTGCAACTATCCATCTGCAGGGCGTCCCGGCAACATTCAATCTCTGAGGCTTCCTTGTGCTATGCATTCTCATACTTCTGGAGATATCCGATTTTCATGCCTCTTTTCAGCACTTGGACTCGGGGGAATTACACGGGATCCCCTCTGCAGGCCAGGGGTGCCGCTGGAAAGTCTCTCAACTTGAGGTCTTAGGCTTGGCCTCCCTCCACACATGACCAGCTGATTGTAAATCACACCCCTTGCAACGACACGGCCCCGTCTTCCGAGGCTTCCCAAGGAAATCTTGAACATCCCGACTGTGACGGTCTTTGGCAAGACACTGTCCCTGCAGGAATGTCGCACGGCTGGGATGCATGGACACCTCTAGCTCCTTTGTCGGGGTCTGCGCAGCAGGAAGAGTGTGGTCATCTATTAATTGTTTGAAGTGAGTTTGCGAGCATTAGACGTCATAGTCATCCGCTTGTTCATGCATATTCTCCTCGCGGGCGTTCGCAGATATGTACATCTATCTCCCCTGAAAGCACTTTGACAACGACACCGCCGTGTGTCCCGATCATAGTGACATGCGCAGCAAGCAGCCAGGCATGTGCAGTTAGACTTTAGACATAAGTTTTTGCATGAGAATGCTTTTGGCCTGGTCACTGGATGTCAGTTTAGTTTTCTAGTATGCAACATGATAAGTTTTATAAACAAACATATACAAACATTTTGACTCAAACGACGATGCCTTACGAGGAAACCGCTCAGAAGGCAGTGCCTGCGATGCCCACATATGAGGGGCTGCACTGAACCACGGTGGATCACCCTGAATCGCTTGCCAAGGTATTTCAATGTCCTTCATCCTGGGCTTCGGTGCTGCCAAGATCCCAGCTATGCGGCTGGCCACGCCGCCCGGTGACATCTGAAAATACCACGCAGCTGACTCTCAGCCACCCTCACCCACCCTGCAACCCCCCTAAAATGCCCGCAGCCCCACAAACCCTTCCCACGTGCCAAAGCTCTTGCTGGGAAGATTGGCCCAGGAGCGTTAAAGGAATAATGTGCCAACGGATCCTTTCAGGAGCGGCTTCTTCTTCCGACATCGTTTGGCCCTTCTGCTCCTTGGCCGCCAGATTCCAGTCCGTTGCTTATTCCATCGAATGCCACCTGTGCCAGACGTCCCATTGCACGAGATGCTCACGACATGCTTCAGCACTCAGGGTTGGGATCCTGGTCTCTTCAATGCTCCTGGTAACGCTGCCAATTCTGCTCCTGGAGGGCTGGGAGAAGATGAAGCCTGTGCTGCAAATTCAGCTTTACTTGGGCATTCCTTCTGCAAAAAAGCCGTCCGGGAGATGCCCCGCGGCCTGGACCTGTCTTGGCGTAGCTGAGCGTTTCACGCAAGACGCTCAAACCGGTTTCGTGCCAGAAGCTTGCATCACGAGGCAAGTGCTTGGGGTCTTCACCTCCTCCTTCATCTCCAGCTTCCTCTACGGTGGAATCGTCACATACCTTGAAGGAAGAGCCTCAGCTGCTACTCGGTGGTTCGGCTCATGGCACATGGCTTGCTAGACCTGACCAGACGCAGATGAGACATCGTAGCAAGGCGGCTGATCCACAAGTGCAGCACAAGTACAGGTTATTTGCAGGTATGCAGGTTCGTGCGCAGTTCCAGCAGAGTTACTCACTCTTTGAGGACAGCGAGTCTAGGAATTCGCTGCAACACTTGCAGAAGGGTGAAGGCACCGGAGCTCAAATACTGCCCGAGCAACCCAGTCCCAGGACAGAGCACCGAGATCATGCTAGCTGCAATCTCCGCCAGCCTTACTGTGGCCGGCACACTCAGCCGCGCTGCTGCCACGGTGCGCAGTCATGAGAATTGCAAAGGTTTCAAGCTGCGGGAAATTCAGCAAGGGAGACGCTGCCTAGCTAACTGTTGATGTTGATATTTGGTTCGCATTGATTCAATGGCACCGCTCCCGCGGGTGGTATCTCGGGCATCTCGGTTTGCCATCTCGTCATCTTTCTGTGGGATTCGAGAATCCATCTGTTCGTGAACATCTCACTGAGGGTCTTCTCGTTACAAGGCTCCCCCCCACGGCCCTCCACCCTCAAAGGGAACTCGCATTCCGCAGGCGCTGCTGGACTGGGGCGTTGCCCCGAGGCCTTCGATTGGAAATTCCGCTTACTGTAGGATTTAATTTCTGCTTTGTGGATCTTTGTGGTGTGTTTGCGCATGACTACCGTGGAAGGCTGATGCCCCTGCTATTGGGAGGATGTCCCGTGGCTCTGAGTGGCGGATCGTTGGGGAGGAGTCAGGCCTAGCCAGCGAGGATTGAGCCACTCAGGGTGAATTTTGAAATAGCCTCTGTGAGTCTGCAAATCCCTGATCTGGGGCTTCACTCAAGGTTGCTGCATCCTGGCCTGTATTTCGATTGTGATCACGGACCCTTGGTGGCACAGACTCAGAGAAGAGATGCAAAGGGATCCGAATCCTCGTTTGCCGGAATGTCAGAAGCCTGTTTGTATGTTTCTGTCCGTTTCAGTTTCTGTCAGGACCGGGCGCCCCGGCCCAGCGGTGCCGACGTTGCAGCGCGGTCCGCACGCACGGCCATGAGTTCGAGGCACGGACGGGAGCCAAGCCTAGCAGCTAAGGCAAAGATTCGGGTAGAGCCATGTTTGAGACTGCGTTCCCAGTCTCACGCAGTCTCGAAGCTGCTTGGCTCGCGGCGGCTCAGCTTTCAATGTGTCCACAGGCAGCAGTGGGACTTTGTCAGCAGCCACGCCTTCGGAGTGATCGCGTCCATCTCTGCCTGGGCTGGCCTGGTGCCTTGTTTCGGCCACTTTCGGTATCTTTCCTTTGTCCAGTTGCCAGCTTTTGCAGAACTGGCCCTTCGTTGCCTGGCAAGGTGGGCTTGCGATCTTTTCGCGACTTCTATGCGAAACAGGCGAGAGCGGGGAGAAGAACTGAGAACATTTCATGCAAAAGTATGTACGTCGAAGCGAAGTCAAGCTCTGCTTCTTCAATTGGGGAGCCATGCTGGGATCAATCTGCAGGTCTTCACTGCTGCTCTCGGAGAGCCGCCCACCCCCAAGGCCATGTTTGGGAGGGTGGGTTGAAATTCTCGGCTGCGGATAGCGGGGATGGCCAGCTGAACCGCCAAGCGGCGCCAGCCTGTGCATCAGTCGTCAGCCAACACGTACTTGTTATATACTACATGTTACCTGTACTTACGGGTACTATGCCATAAGCATTGATAGTAGCAGACAACTTAGTTGGCACTGGACTTGTTGGTAATTAATATCAGCCTTAGTATCAGTAGCACTATCGTGTAAGTCATTAGTTTGTGTCATTGCCAGTTGTTAATTGTCGGCATACTGTTGTTTCCTGGTCTGCTATCATGGCACATGGTACTTCGCTCAGGGCAAGGATATTTATCATGCTGCAGGTTCTGGCAATGGCCGATTTGCCTGGAGCTGCAACATCCTTTGTGGCTTTAGTCCGGGCCTCGGAACCGAGTGCCGAGTGCCGGGGCTGTGGAGTCATGATTTCCCAGTGTCGTCAGATAGGTTTGCATGCGCATCCACGCCATGCCTCAGACTCAACGTCGGATCAATCATCGGAGTGTTGTTGCCCTCTGAGCTCCAACATTCCAGCAATAAGGGGGACTCGCCAAGTTGCGAAGCAGTTGGCAAGCGACAACCCCCTCGAGCCTTCCACCATGGCGCACCCCCTGCCTGTATTGCTCCAGCCCCACATTGACACTGATGCGAGCGAGGGAGAGAGGGATGGCGAGCGATGCTCGCATGCTCGTCTGGTGGATCCCATGCCCATGATCTTCAGCGGCTGTCTGTAGAAACTCTCGGACAACGCCTCGATCTTCAGGTTATGATGTCTTGGGTGAAGGACAGCCAGAAAGCCCTGCGCTTGATGCTGGTCCTTTGTGCATCAGGACAATCCCTGCAGCAGACTCTGTTTGTTTTGCCAGGCAGTCCTGAATCCATGAAATTTAGGCAGCTTACCAGTGATCGGGCAAAGCTATCATGTGGAAAGGCACAATCAATCTCTGCACGGACCACCGTTCCTTGCACCGGAACAGGACTGCTGGTTGTGGTTGGCCTGACATGGCTCCTTCGGGAGAAATGGTTGGCCGCTCCGATTGAAAAATGAAGTTGCAGTTCATCGAATGAGACAAGCCGACGTGATGAGCACAAGAGATCTAATGTTGCACCTTCCTTGAGCCAAAATGGCCGCGATATCTACTCTTACCTACCCATCCCTACACCCTTCTGAAGCGCCGATCTTGGTTGGGGGCGGCAGTTAAACAGGGTTCAACATTATTCAAAATTAGCGTGAATCACGACATATCGGCATGCCAATCGTTGCATCCAGGATGGGATCAGCTGGATGCTGCAACTTGTCGGCAGTAGCACGGTGGAATGCGAAGGTCTTACGTCAGTCTTCAGCTAGATTTTTCGGTCCTGTACGTTCTTGTCAATTATTTCGAGACGGAAAACCGGCACCAAAACGGAGAGGCAAGACTTGCTGTTCTAAGATGTAACATTGCAACAGGCATACTAGCTAGGTTTTGTTCGGGCGGAGTCTGTTGTTGCCAGAGTTGTTTTCGCGAGGAGAGTGGACCCGGGCATGTCTTTTTGTTGATCAGTTGTATGTTGAGAATCAACTTTGACACCTTATTTGGTGACTTTGGTGCCTGGGACCTGGGGCATCGGGGCTGTTGTCGGCGCGCTGTGATTCGCGGGACCATGTATTCAAACATATCTATGCACAACAGGCTGCAACAGCTTTTGTTGCAGCATTGGTGTGTGCTGCAGGCTTTACTCGGCGGCCTTCTACACATCCTTCTCCATGCTGAATGCGCCTATCAATGAGCGCATCTTCGCAGTTACTCGTGCTGAAGGTGGGCCACACAGAGCACATCCTAATTCAGGTGTCGGCGTCAGCGAATACCGACGAACGGTTGGAGAAGCATCCTCCTTGCGTCCAGCAATGCGTTCTGATGCAGTTTTGAGCAACTGTGGCCCTGGGCCCGCGAGAGGTACGTGTTCTTTTCTCATCTTTGCATCCGATGGAGCGGGAGCCTCGCCAGATCTGACTTTGCGCCTTTACGCTCCTTTGGTTCCGGGTGTCTGCCAGAGACAAGTTTGGGGCCCCAAAAAAGCACACAAGCAAAAATTACGATAGTGATATCCCATATAAACTCCCTTATAATGAAGCCCAGTAAGGCAGGGATATCCCGATAAAATGCTTATGCTTATGTCCTTTTGGGGTCCCTAAAAGTTCTCGCCTGGAAATGCTTGCATGGCTCCCCCAAGCGGGAGTCATGATTCTGCACACGACTTCCCATTCCAGTTTCCGAGGATACGTCGTGACCATCGGCTTGTTAATGTACCAGAGCTTTGGCCCTCTGTCGGCGACCGATGCCACCGACGCGGAGGTCCGGTGCTGCAGCGCACTACGAGCATGGCACTGAAACTCCAAAACTTGAACAAAAATTAGGGAACCTGTCCAGGTGGTGCTGCAGCTCTTTGTGCAGCTGCAGCTTGGGTGAAAACTTCGGAGCATTGATTGAAAGTCTGTCGGACGTGTCGATGAACAGCCTAATTTCGATTTGGTTCGCATCCTTTCCCTATTGCAAAAGGTTGTTCAAACAAGCCTCCAGAGAATCGTTTCAGCAGTCACTCTTCCCGAAGTTTGTACAAGATTCCCTTTTTGCTGATCTGAGGCTGTACATACTGACCGTCCCCATTGTGCAACTTGGACAAAGCTCTGTCTGTCCTGCTCGGAAGCCAGCCTAACTTCCTGACTTAAGTGTCGGGTACCAAGCCTGCGAAACGGACAGACACAGGCGGATTATGATGACTATGTTACCATGTTTGAGTGCGGTTCGGAAGTCAGCCTAGCAACGAGAACATGTGCGCTGAAGTGAGCGTGGAGTGCAGTACTGAGTAATGTTGCCAGCACGCTCGTGGATACAGAGGGAGTAGATTTGTTCAGGTGATTCGAGTGTTTGTAACGGGGCTAGATATGGCTAGATATCTTCGACCTTGTCTCCACATCTTTTATTCCGCATGTAGGGTACACGGTGTAGAATCGGATGTCGCATTTGAGGACGAGCATGGCTACAGTAGTCATTTCGAACGAACTTGTGATCCATTTGTAGGCATTAGTTGTCTCTCAGCCTCCCGCTCGCTCTCATTACCTTACATAGTCATCGATCATCTGCTTCCCTGACTACCCGTACACCTGCAGAGACCGTTCCTCGGTCATTCGCCTGCATGTGGTTGTAGGCGCACCGACCAGCAGATTTGCAGATTCTGACTGCAAACCGAGTCGGAACGGTCCCGCTGAGGTGCGTGCTGCTCCTGTCGGTCAGATACTTCAGCCGCAGCATCTACACTCCCGCGGCAGGGGCGGCGCTGTGATGCCACCCCGTAAGGGGCCATGGCCATTGCTTGCGCAGCAGGACGCTGTCCAGACTCAGGGGCTGTGGAGTTTCTTCACGGGTAGGTGGCCGCCAGGTTATTGGGAAGACAGCCCTCCGGACGTCTGAGGGAAATTCCCCCAATAAATCGAACCTGGGATGGGCCAGTCCCAATGAGCCACAGTGAGTCCTCCGAAGCACCCCGAGCTCTGTCGTCCAACATGTGCAGGAGTGTGGAATACTTAGCTTGCGCACTGCCTTTCGTCGTCTCCGACATACATAGCCAAGCTACCAGCTGCGCAGAAAAAATCGTTATGAGCCCGGTTTTGTGGACAGATTGACTGCATGCCTGGTTGCCACGCACGGGCGACGTTGCAGAGTGGAGCTGTAACTATAAGAGGCAACAGGGCAAAGTATATCCAACAGCCCACGTACCTAGCAAGAGCGGTTCGTTCCTGATCTGTCCGTGAGTTGAAGAGGCTCTTACATTACGCATCAACCTCAGGATGGGAAGGTCCTGCCGGAATCGCCCACAAGCGCGGCTTTTGAAAGTTTCAGAGAACAAGATGTCGCTGTGTAAGCCAAAAGCCTGGGTGCTCAGAAACAGTACCTCCATGATGCATGCTGTGGCGTTGTCCTATGTCAATCGCAAACTGAAATGGTGGCCGGCCGTCGCTGCGTGCCAACTTGTTCCATGCAGTGCATTTACATCTCCAAAATCAGTCGGGGTTGATTGTCTGCGCCAAGGTATCAAATCTTTGAGGATGATACTTGCATCCATCGCGCGTCTGTCGATTCATCACCTTCCCATCTGGGAGGAACCCGCCAGTTTCGGTTAATTCAGACCCCAAACCCAACAAAACCTCACCCTTAAATATCCATTACAATTTAAACCACCTCAAGTTTGAGCTAAAGTCCGGTTTGGTTCTGTGGTGCCTGGTCGTTTCACTGGTTCAGGTTCCGAGGCCAGCCTTTGCCCGAGCCTGAGTTTTTTCAGGCCAAGGGATTCATCTCTAAAGTCTCAATGTTAGGGTCATGCAATTTGAGAAAGCTGAACCTGGAGCTGCCGATAGCTCCATGGCAGTGGCAGATTTGCTTTCAATTTGGGCCTCGGAAGCTCCCCGGACAGAGGTCCTAGAGTCAAAGCTCCCGGCCTGGGGCCTCTTGCTGTCAGAGGCCGCAGTGGCTCCGAAGGCCACTGACTACAGTCAGTTTCCTGAGCTTTCAGGCTGCGGCACGGGGCGGATTTGGCTGGGCCGGATTTCAGGAGAAATTTCCAGGGTGGGGAAGGTCAGCAATTGCAATTGCAAAGACTGGACTCGGGTTGGCCGATTCGGATTCGTGCTCGCTCGTGGCTCCTGGCCTCATGCTGAGCTCGCTCTAGCTGCACTGTAGCAGCGAGGTTTGCACACGCACGTGCCTGGCACTGGCTCAAAGGAGGGATGAAAATTGTAAAACTCTTTAACCTGTGTATGTATATAGAACGGAGCAGGTGAAGCAATGGACTTGACGATCTACGTCCAGTCCGGCGGGATGTCCGCCGCTTTCGCACTGAGTTTGGACGTCCTGCCTCACCAGCTCACGGCCATCGCTCACGTGACCTCCATCCTCCAAATGTGCAGCATGTATGCAGAGTCCAGGCCCTCCCAGCAGGAGGCCCACCAGCAGCTCAAGAGCTACATGGACAAGGCTTGTCTGCAAGTTAAAGTCAAACCCCTCGAGGTCCTCGAGCCATCTCGAGCCCTCAGGCAGCCTCAGGCAGTCTTGGAGCCGGAAAGCAGGAAAACACCTAGCTCACACCTTTCCCGACTGCACTAGGTCACTAGAGCCATGTAAGGAATGAGAGTACCCACAGCACGGAAGCCGACATCGAACCTAGCTCCAAGTTGAGACCTAGCTTGTGTTGGTTCCTATTTCATGAACTGAAGTATCGAAAGTTTTACGAGGAATCATCGGCCATGAACCCTGCACCCTGACACTGGAGAGCACTGACTTAGACATTCTCCCTCTGACAGGTAAACTTGATCCAGACGCAGCTGGTAAATAAACAGAAGCGGCGCACTTCCGCCAAACGTGGAGTGAAGCCAATGCCAGTAATCTTGGACAGCAAGGGTGACTACGAGCAATCTGGCAACGAGAACTTGTCGGACGAGGAGTCGACAGTGCGGCCAATCACGCAGCAAAGGCAGAAAGCCAGAACAGCCCCGGCCGCGGAGAGCGACCCGCCCGACGAGGATGCAAGGCCAGATCGCGGGATCCCAGAGCCATCGCCAAGGGGCAGCTCCACCATCTCCAACTCTTTGGAAGACATACCTTCCGATCTCATGTATGGGTCTGGACGACAGGCGACAGACGACGTCAACTGGGACAAGAAGGCGGACGACAACAACGCAGAAACCATGGATGTAACCGAGAACATCAACCCCAGTCCTCCGAAGTCAGCAGCAAATCTTCTTTCAACCTTTCGCTGGAGGGTGCCTTCAGCGCCTGTCTCGTGGATGTGGAGCAAGAAGAGTGCACGCATTGTCCCCGACGACAAAACCCATTCGCTGGATCAAGCAGCGGCACTAGTGCCACGTGCACTTCTCGAATAGCGAGGGTACTTCTCGTTTTGCAACAGTGCGATCAATCGTGCACTATGCAGCAAGCTGTTCTTTCCCAGGCATCGGCGACTCCGTGTCCGCCGTGTGTTTCAAGCTGTCCACACTGCTCTGAGGTTTGGAAGCTTCATCTGTCTTGACGTAACGGTCCCAAACAAGAAAGCACGATTCGCGCAGCTTTGCACGAATTACTGGGTTTGCAGGTGTGAAAAGTAATGAAGTAGCAGCAACTTGTTGCATCCATTACACAGGCCAGCTGTGTACTTGAGTGCAAATCCAAGCTTGAACTTCAGTTGGCATGTACCGTACCCATGGAGCTTCTGTGGCCTGAGCAGCATGATGTTCGTTCTGTACCACAGATAGCGAGCTCCGAGCAGCAAAGCAGCCTGGATCTCGCTGTGGGTGCCTGGAGTATCGGTTGGCAGCTCCCCAACATGAACCATTATTCCGACCCTAGTTTTGAAACAGATGTTGGCTGAGCGTGATGAATTTGAAAGGGGCATTTGCTGAGATCGATCTGGGAACAAGGTACTGTAGTGATTAAGAGTAGTCTGATCTTAAGTAGCAGTGACGGTAGCAGTACTACTGCTACTCGTAGAGTCCTAGTACTACAAATGCGAGCCTAGCACCGTAAATTCTCCCCTGGAAAGCCTGTGGTACCGGAGGGGCAAACTGTGGAAGTTCATTGTTTGTTCTAGCCGCTTGTCTGAGCCGAAACACCCGGACCCTGGTCTCGTCCTCTTGCAGCAGAAGTTCACAACCGGATGACTGCTGGGTGCCACCTCAAGTTAGTTCAAGCAAGCCGAGCTTCTGATCCCTCTTCTGGCACTCGAGGCTTGTGCCCACCTGTTGTTTACCCGCCGTGGCCGTGACTGCAGCGTCCAAATGGTGGAACCATTGAGCGACGCCCGTCCGGCTGAACATCAGCTAACAGCAGAAACGTTGTTAGCTTTTTTTGTGATAAAGGTCACACGGATGGTTTTGCTTAGGCGCAGGGTTGCTGCGTGTGGCAGTAGCCAGCTGTGACATTCACTTCTGCTTTCCTCTTTCGAACACACGCCTGCTTCTGCCGACAACCGCTGTTAATGACGGGGTATAGAACTGACAAATCCAGTCCGTCAAGCGTTTACATGTTGCGCTGTCGGCGACTCACGGCCACCGCTCCTCGGATTTCCGAGCCACGACAGCCGTCAGGCAACTGAAATACCTTTCCTCTGCAACTTGCAGACCTGCACAGACTTGCATGTGTTTCAAGATTTCAAGATGGCTGAGGGGGTTGGAAGCCTCACCTCTGCATGTGTGTGTGCGACCCGCTGTTGCCCCTCAAATCCTTGCTTAACTATCAGGCTCATGATTCCAGCCCGGTTCAGCAGGGATGTAAAGGCTTTGTCGCCATTGCATCCTTCATCTGATCATGATCGAGCACTGGACAATGAAGGTCGTCTAGCCTGCTAGCATAAGTAGGTGAGGTCTATCCCACGAACAGCGAGCTTCAAGGAGCAAATATGCCACTCGTCGGCTCTTCAGCCGCTCGCCTTGCAGCTCCTGCAGTTCACGAGTCCAGCTGCATTCCGCGGGACGAGTCGAGTATGTTCGGGTTCAAGGTATAGTTATATGAAATCAACTCGCACCTTGTGAGTGCAGCGTCTCAGTGGCCGAGCCGCTGGGCAGTATCTGTCTCAGCAGTGTCACCTACGAGCAGTAGGTCTCAGGTGACGCTAAATAGCCATTTCAGCCTGATTGACACCAGTGCGTGGAACATCAAAGTTTCGCCGACATATTCGAAAGCAAAGTAAGAAGGAATCAGAGAGAGTTGTTGTCAAGGACAATGTGGGGGAGACTTACCTGTCTCTGCTGTTAATTGACTGCTGTTATCAAAAAATCGGAGTATTACAGCTTGTTAGCGCAATAAAGTTCTTAACATGTAACAAGAGTTCACATGACATGAAAACGCAAGGCAGTTCGAAGAATAAAAGCTGGGGTTTACAGTGTCGAGTAACATCTGACCAAAGATAGCACTACAAGACATGATAATAGAGAGCAGTGCAAGTATGTATTCCATGTATCTGTACAAAGTACCATACTACATCGGAGTGCATAGCACTATATAGTAGTGCATAGTAAAGTACAACATCATGTAATGATTTGAGTGTCGTCATCTCCAGTATTACATCACAGTTTGTGATAAAGCAGGTGTAGCATGTAGTATAGCTTACTTAAACAGTGTGCTATCTGCAGCTTATACTGTATATTGAATATTGTGTACTACATGGTCTATGATATACGACGCATAATGTGTAGTGTAGAGAGCACGATCTCTCTCTCTATATATATATATAATACAAGAAGACACGCATACATACATAGTTACTTACTAAAAAGAATATGGTACAAGCCATAATAATAGAAGGTGCATGATAAATGTAGCACACAATGTGCGATGTGCTGTCTACCATATAGCATGACTTCTATGGCAGGTAATGCATGTTCGATACGGTACAGCACGCGATTCCCACAGGCAATATAATTGAACATTTATGTTTACCTAACCTATAGCATGTACTCTACACCACCTATAGCGTGTAACCTGGTTATATCGTGTATATTATATATTTATATACATACATATGCATGCATACGTACAAACATATACATATATATACAACTGCATATATACTATATGTACATATGCACATGTATACATATACGCAAAGAAACACGCACACACAGACATACACATATATATGTATATGTTATGTTCTTATACATATTTATATATATATATATATAGATGTGGCTTTATGTATATAAATATATAGTATATGTATATCTAGGTATATGCGTATACACATATGCGCTTGTGTTTATGCCAATGTGCGCAGGTGCACTTGTTATAAGAAGGCGTCTTCGGCCGCAATGCGGCAACGTTGGCCCGGATTCGTTCCATCGCACCGTGTCAGCTCAGACCTTCGAGACAAGTGGCCGAGGCTGGTTCATCAGCCCGGCGACCGTGGGCGAAGTACCGGGCACAAGTGTGCATGTATGTATGTGTTCATGTATACATGTATCCGCATATGTTTACACATGCAGACATGCGTGTATGCAGGCATATACACATATAAATATATGAATGTACATGTGTGCAAGATTGCCAGAAGTGATCGACTTCTTGATTATGTACGTACGTATATCTGCAAGTTCATACGGCTCGTGTGTAGCTTGCAATGCATTTGTGAATACATCAGGTGAGGCTTTGATGAGTTGTTGTATTCCATCAGTAGTTGGTTTGTTGCACTATATGGATACATACAAATATGCACACGGCATGCACGCAGCGCTGGCTTCGGAGCAGTACAATATGCTGATCCCGGAAGATGCAGGCGTGTTACTAGCTCTTTCCTTTCCAACCACAGCACGGGGCAGCTGCCGTTTTTTAAGGCCGGCTGGCTTCCATTGTTTCACCTATCCGTTTAAGGGCTACCTCTGGGCTTAGCTTTTCCAGCCTGGGTTACGAGTCATTCCACGCGAATGCATGGTCCGTGCAGCAGAGCTAAGACGCTAAGCGCAGTAAAAAGGTAAATCTAGTGGCGAAAAGTTTTGGCTCCATTGCCACCGGGCATCCTGCCACTTCGAGTTTTTGTTCGGGGTAATGGTAAAGCACTTGACTGCTGCGTGCTTGATTTGAGGTCTCTGGTCTCATGTCCAGCTTGCTAGATTGGATCTTCACACTTTGTAGTTACACGACCGTGAGTTGCGTGCAGCGCAGCGAGAACACCTTGTCCGGTCCTCATTATTACGATCTACTTTCATGCTTGCACGAACCATCTGCGTTGCTGGCCATGATGAGGTGCCGACTCGATCTTAGGGTCCCTCGCACACCACGATATTTGAGTACTTTCGATTACAAGGCAGTGCTATCACGAGTGTGTGTGTGTTTCCTGCATGTTCTGGAGTGCCTTAACGGGACCCTAACATTGAAAAACTGTCCCAAGTACCTGGCGAAAAAAGGATGCTTGCTTGAAGCTGCTTGCAGCCGAGATGCATTTAGAAATAAGGGTTTGAGTACACGGCATTGAGGCTACGCGACATGGAGCGAGGTTCAATCTTCCAGTAACTTTTGCAACGTGATGACCAAAGTGATCTTCGGTGAATGCGCTTGAAGAACCACTCGGTCTCCCAGCCCAACAACAAGATTTGCAGTGGAGGTGTAAATGAGTGGTGTCACATGCCGAAGCATGCAGTAGATGCAAGAACTCAGCGCGTAGCTGCAGCTTCGTTGCACTCTGCATGAACAGCTGGGGTGGCCCAAGTCTTGTCAGGCAGACCGGAAGCAAGTGGTCAGAAGGCCGTAACCCCAGAACAGAACATTCAGAGGCTGTGCCATGCAGCATCTTTGTTGTAAGCACCCCCGCAATAAACAAGCCAGTCTCCTTGTGGCGATCGCACAACGGACCGAGTAGCACAAGAATGGAGTTTTCCATGTCTTTTCAGAAACGTGACTGCATCTGTTTGTTTCGCTATGTTATGGACAGCTCCTGCATGGCTTGCATGCCCGCAACATCGGAAGATTTTACTTGTACTTTCGTGCTGGTTTCCCTTTTCGTTGTGAACAAGATGCGTGCGATTTCCCAACGATAGACTTCGTGCATGTTTATCGCTCCATCAACTTCTCACCCAGACCGAACAGCGAAATCGTTTTGCTACAAAAAAGGATCCTAGACCAGAGACAAATCTCGCCGTGCAGATCCTCAGACTAGGTGTAGCGGTGAATGTCGCCGTGTTAGCTCCTTGCTGCTGCTTCTGCAGCTGCGGCTTCTCCTGTTGCTCCCACGGCTACCGCTACTACTACTACTACTACTACTACTACTACTACTACTACTATTACGACTACGCCTGCCACTGCTACTACAACTACTACTACGACTACTACTACTACTACTACTACTACTACTACTACTACCATTACTACTACTACTACTACTGCTACTGCTACTGCTACTGCTACTGCTACTGCTACTGCTACTACTGCT